AGGAGAGGTAAAAAAAAGGTTACTGTTTATCTTCTATGCCCAGGTGGCAGATTCTGGTCTCACCCAGAATAATGATCTGTGCTTTATGTGGATTTTTGTGTCCTTTATTTTTAAAAACAGATAAATAAACAACGAACACACCGAAGTTCCTGAAACCGCCAAGGCTTAATTATGTCACCTTCCGTCAGTTTATTTTTAAATAGTGTATTGTCACTCTAAATAGACAGTCAAGCTACAATCATGCACTATTTTCAGATGTTTATGACTATATTAATCAAGTGACCAGTCTCCTCTCATAGGCTTTGATTTTGCCTTCCCAAGATCAACTCCTAAATTCAGAAAAATTAAAACTTCATGATGTCTTTTACCTTTAAATTATCTTGGGCTTCCCTGAGGGCCACTGGACAACCGCAAGGACTTGTTCCTTTACCTTTGAAAAGAGAGGGATGCTAGAAGTAACTAGGTTTATTCATATGTTCTATGTTTTTTAATTAGCTCAACACTATAGTAAGAGTTGGATGAAAAAAGGTATTGAATCAGAGGAGCTCAGCCTTCCTTATATTAATTTCATTCAAATAAATTGTTGTTAATAATAAATATTATTTCAAAGATAGCCCCTTACAGAAAGACCCTGCTATTCCTTATCTTCTGTGTGGTCTCCTCAGATTAGAGAGATTCGAATATCATCGTCAATATGTTCTTATTTGACATTAGTGTAAAGGGGACATCCTGACCGTCAATTCAAGGCACTTTTTTTTTTTTTTTTTTTAATGTGCAAAAACTAGCAGAAAAAAACCCTGTCATCTTAAAGCAACTGTGTAGGAAGCAGGAAACTGAATTTACCTTTGGGACAGACTGCTCCTTGGTTTTGGGAAAGCTATATGAACAACCCCTTCAATTATATAAATTTAACACAAGTATCCACCACTAGTGCTGTCCCCCTCCCTGCTCTAAACCCAAGTCAAAGGATAAATGACAGGGCTTCCCTGGTGGCGCAGCGGTTGAGAGTCCGCCTGCCTACACAGGGGACACGGGTTCGTGCCCTGGTCCGGGAGGATCCCACATGCCGCGGAGCGGCTGGGCCCGTGAGCCATGGCCGCTGAGCCTGCGGGTCAGGAGCCTGTGCTCCGCAACGGGAGAGGCCACAACAGTGAG